TTCCCGGCTGAGCTTGCAAGCTGCTTGGCAACCACCTCCTCCACCCCTGCGCCTCACTAACTACCACATTACAGTCAGAGGACAAACTGCAAACTCCTCCAACAGAATAAAGTTAATAAAGGCTGGGAGAGTTCCACCCTGATAGGTTGGCTTAACTCATCGTTCTAATCAATTGTGTTTACACAGCGTGCACAGAAACCACAGCTGCTGGGGTATTGTTTGGACTCAGTACATGTTTAATTTGATCTTTTATGCTTTCCTGTCCCGTGCCGGTGTCACCGAGCCACACTGCCAAATATAAACGACTGCATTTGGAAGGAGCAGTCATCTTTTAACTTCAAAATAGACAAAAAAAAATAAAAAAAGACTGTAAAGCAGTCGTCACTCATCACAGGGAGTCTCAAAGGTGGGAATTGGGGCCTTTTACTTCTCTGTGCACAGGGCGCCTTTGTGCTTTAATCCATTTGTGTATCTTATGGGGATTTCAGTTTTCTGCTCTTTGACCATTTCACGTTTCTACATGAGGCTTTAACACCAACGGCTGTAAAATATCTTTTGCTTCAGCGTCTAAATTCATGATCTTAACCTCCAGTTCCAGACTAAAGCAGCTGCAGGCGAGTGAAGAGGACATTCCCATTATGATTCTTACAAAAGGCATTCAGATTTTTTAAAATCAGAGCCCTCTGAGCTCAAAAAGCCCACCCTCACTCCTGAGTGTCTCAAACAGCCCCCTTAGAAAGTAGCCATCTTTTCTCCGCCCCCTCGATTTAATGCATCTAATGTGGACCCGTCGGCTTTTTAAACCTGGACCGCTGCCCGTCGCTACAAAGCTTACATTTCACATATGTGTGTGAGAGAGACCACCTCCAGTGAAGTAACTCCAGGGGATTTTTTTCATTAGTGCGGCCGGAGCGCTGTGTGGCTCCTTTGTTGAAACCACAATGATACAAGTGGAAGGGAGGGGGATAAGTGCCGGTTACAGAAAACTCCTCGTACCACTTGTGATCTCAGAGTTTAACCCTTCGCACCAGTTTCACTGCACCGTCTGATACAGCTCTGCATGTGGACTGTTGTCTGAACCTGACAGTGTTCAGGGAGGGAAAGCCGCCTTTTCTTCAGTTTCTTCCCCTTTTACAAGGAGGTCACTGGACCAAATTCTTAGGCAGTGTCAATTTCAGGATGGAAAATGCAAGAGCAGCTGAGGCTGGAAAATACGATCCAGACGACCGATTCAAGAGGTATGTAGCACCATATTTTCACAGCAAAATATTGATAAATACCTGATTTTCACATAAAGGTGTATTAACTGGTCGTGTTTAGTTTCTTTTCAGGTGTTAAAGTCCCCTTTTGTCCAATCGTGTGCATGTCCGGGGCAGCTGAGAGCAGATAAGGCAATCCTGTTTAATAACTCACTCATCATCATCAGAGTTTCCTGTTTTTAACACTAGGATTAAACTGAAGCTTTATGCTTCTTCAAAAAGATAAAAATGCATGAATTTAGTTCAGATTGGAAAGCGTCGGTTTTTATTTTCACAGATCCAGTTTTGACCGGGAAAAGAACGTCGTCATGCACACAAAATATTTTTAAAGATAAAGAACTTTAAAACATCATTAGCAGCAACAACATCTGTAACTCTAAAGACTTGCATTTAAAAAAAAAAGATCATACGATATTTGAATGGTGCAGATGTCGTGGGAATCACTGTTATAATGCTCCTCGTGCTGGTAGTAACACCAGTACATCAAAACATTGGGACATGGGAGTAATCCTGGGATGTGTCTGTGCTCGCTGCTTAATGTTTAACTTCTTAATACGCTTCTTGGACCTTGAATGAGAAGCTTTTTCTCTAACAACACAGACAGGTCTGAGTCTCTAGATTTCTATTTGTATTCTTCTTAATGCAAATATTAAAAAGACAAGTTTTTCAGGGCTTCCACGTACCCGGGATATCCAGTGACAGACATCCTGGCGTCCGCTGACCCTCGTTTAAGAGCGACGAAGAATTTGTAAAACTAAAAAACAGCAATAAAAATTTGTTTTTAGAGTTATTCCTTTGAGATTATATGAGTATTATAAATGTCTTCTTGCACTTTTTTATGGCCTTTTTGCTGCGAGTGTTTCACCTGTTGTTAACAGTAGTTTTGTGACAAGTTTGATAAGGGCCACGCCCAAAAGAAGCTCAAAGACCCCGACGAAGTCCAAAGGTTGGTTCCTTTCTGCTACTCGAACTCAGCAGCATTAAATGTGTTACATATTTAACTGCCCCGCAAGCATTTCTGATGCGTCCTCATAACAGTTTGTGTACTTAAGATTTTATTACCGGTCATCGTGTGCATCACTTTATGGCCGTGTTCTCTGAATGGTTTACAGATGCAGGGGAAAAGTGTGGTTTTTAAAATGTGCTGCACCTTTACCCTGGAATAAAGTACGAGGGGATCTGAAACTGAGCCCAACTCTTTGTTAATGTTTTTTGCTTTTAAATGTCTTGGATAGTTTTTGAGAATTCAGGGCCGGTGATGTAAACGAAAGCCTTGGTTAAGTCCACGGACGACAGAACATCGTGACGTGTAATGCAGCGAGGCTTCTCGGCTTTGTGTTGCTTTTAATTCTTCAGCATCGTCATGACTGAATGAACGCACATATTGACATGATTTTATCTCATGTCCTTTCTTGCGCCCGCGTGGTTCGAGACATGAGAATCGGGTTTAACGAATTAAGGATTCAGTCTAATATCCGGCTGCTTTCATAGCTTTTATTTGGGAGAATAAACCTGCTTGAATATGCAAGCATTGCTTTCAGTTTCTGTACTTTAACTGCTCACATGTGTATAATTTTCATCACGTACATCCCAAACGTGTCATCGGTCCCTCATTTCCCTTCTGAGAGCATCGAACATGTTTGGACGTCATGCTTTAAATCTCCATACTGACCAAAATAACTGAGCAGACCAATATTTATACTCATTCATGTTCATATCTTGGAGTTTATATAAACTCACTGGTGTCTTTCTTCATCAGAGGTATTGTTGCCTTGCTGATTGTAGCATTTTCTTTTAAAGAAAGTGTCAGGTGCACATGTTATAAATATTGGGTTGCCTTCCTGAAATCCACACCTGGCAGTTCGGTCCTTGTTCAAGTCATCGGGTGACACTCGGTAACTTTTCCCTCTCGGGCCTGAGCTGCAACTTTGAGTTTTGTCCCCCCTTTATTCTGATCTTCAGCAGGTGAAACACGATGAGCTGAATCTAACTGTACTCCTGTGTGCCCCAAAAGCGTAAAGATGATGCACAAAAAAGTCTACAAGTCAAAGAAAATTCATATCTTATCATATCTGAGATTCAAAGTAAGGGTCTGAACTCACCCGCTCGCCCTCTGTATGAAGTCGTAGAGAGGCACCAGAGGCCTCTCCAGGGTCAAAGCCAGAATGTAGACGATAAGGACGCACGAGACCGTGAGCACGGCAAAAAGCAGCCTCCTGTGCAGCCCCATCCCAATCACGGTGCTTGTGGCTCCGGCTGGCAGGCTGCGTCTCCTCGCCCTTCCCTCCACTCAGCTCCCAGGAACATGAGGAGCGAGAGGATGTGAACGCTGTGCCACTCTACAGCTACGAGTGTCGACGGCGGGGGATTTACCCACGACAGGATCTGGGCTCTCCTCTGAGCTTCTCTCAACACAGCTACAGCGAGAGGCAGATAGAAAGAGAGAGTTGGAACGAGGGTAAAGACTCAGGAGGGGAAACTTTATCTTCCAGCGTCAACAGAGTGCCAAATAATCCCTTTTTAATGAAGTCTTTGCCTTCATGCCCCTGAACACAAAGCTCAGGGTCACGATCTTCATCTCCTTTTACATCCTGCTCTTACTTATCTACTTTCTGCTCTTACAGTCTTCTTACAGACAAGAGAGGAAACGGAGGAAACACTACGGCTTCACACGTTAAAAATATGCTGAGCAAAGTTTGAAAGGGAAAATAAAGAGGCTGGGAGGGGGGCGGGGGGGATGGCGATAGCTTCAGCTGAAAAATACAGGAAGCCAGAAATGTTATCTTACAGGAAACTGACGTCTTTAGTGCAACTCAACATGTTTCTCCAACTCTTAGAAGAAGTTGCATTAGCACTAAACGTCTCTCAAGTCCAGAGCTGCTGTTCTTAAAAGTCCAGAAACTGATAAATACATCCACTGATGACTCTGTGTGTGTGTGTGTGTGTGTGTGTGTGTGTGTGTGTGTGTGTGTGTGAGAGAGAGAGAGAGAGAGATAGGCATGTGGGAGAGCTGAGTCTCTAAATGGGGAATGGAAAGAATGTGATAAACTCCAGCATCTCTGATAGCAGTTATAACAGAGCGAATTAGCTCTTCCACACCCCAAAAACTGGAGGGATTTTTTTTCCACAGTAAAACATCGCAAAAGTCATCCAGTAATTCATAACATGTCTGACAGTGACTTACAGCAAAATATCAAAGAGGAAACAAAAAGCATCAGCCTGTGACAAATCATGACTCAATCTGCCTTCCTCTAATGAGAGGACTCTGACAAACCTCTTCAAAAAAACCTCTGAGTACTTTTGAGAAATGAAGAACATGAAGCTTCACTCACCAGCAGCTGAGCTCCTGTTTCCTTTGAGTATTTCCTTTCTGCTGCTCACAGTGGAGACATATCCCTCTAACTTAGCTCTCTATTGCTCATCTACTGTGAAGCGCTTGTGCTGCCTGCCTTGCACTGTATGGGCGGGGCCATTGTGAAATGAGCAACAGCTGCTGGCAATTGGTCAACCCCCTGAACTCCAGAGCACGAGAGGAGGGGAGGGAGCCCACTGCGGGCAGCAGTAAAGTTAGTGAGACATGAGCAGCTCAGAAACACTCGGAGGGAAACAGATTAGCTTGTCCACACTGACAAAAGCCCTGATGTACGAGCTCTCATGCAGCGTGTCTTAACATTTGATTCCTGTGGTTGGTGCAAAACGTGTCACGAGTTAGTTGTGTGTGTGTTACATGCACAGAAGTGAGAAAAGCCCCATTTGAGTCACATCTATTTCTCTGCTTGGATCTCTTGCAGTGAAGAAAATCTCCCGAGGCTCCTCATCCACGTTTATTTAGGATATTTGAAGTGCAGCCATAATGAATCAGAGTGTCTGGTAATCAGACTCCCTGACACGGCCTGTGTGATTCTGTTGCTCGTTTGTGGTTCAAGTTACTCCTCTGACCTCTCCATCTTCATGTTGCGTTTGTCTTCGTGGAGTTACTTCCTGTCACTTCCTTTGTCATGTCATCTGTTTTGTTTCCTGGTCTGCTCTTGTCCTTTTTCTCCAGTATCTTCTTGTTTTCCTAGTTTTGTACCTTTCGTGAATCAGTTTTTTAAAATAAAGCTCGCTTTTTGTTTTGCACTCTCCAACCAAAATCGACTCTCACAAACACTCGGGCATGGATGTGAGTTAGTATATATCAGTTGTATTTTGGATTACCTTTTTTTTAATTCAAGCGTTATTTTAAAGCTCTAGTTACTAAAATACTAATATCTGATGGTTTATTATTATAGATAAAGCTATCAAGGATTATATAAGTCATTACAAACATCTCCAGAAGCCACATTTAAGTGATATGCATGTATATGGTTCTGCATGAGTACTCTTACTTTTGCTAAAAGCTAAAACTTTTGCCCTACTTAAATATGGAAAATCCCACCCACTCCCTCCTCCTCGTGAGATGGGTGGAAATAAGCAAGAAGCTCCACCTTATATAAAACTAAATACAATAAGTGGAAAAACAACTCTGCACTTTACTGCACGTCATTTCAGTCACAGCCGCTGTGGTCTGCTGACCATCATCACCTGACACACGCTTATTTTCTGAGAGGATTAATTGTTATTAGTTATTGCATAACTGTACTAATGAAATAGTGGGAATATTTCTCTACAGAATCTCAGCCAGCATAAATCCGCAGGACGTTGGCTGCAAAGGGCCTGGACTGGATTGGCTTAAACCAGGGGGACATCTGAAAACGCCAAGACCTTCTTTAGTGTTGCCTCAGAGTGTGGGAGGGTGAGAGCTGGCCGTATCAGTTCAGTCACTTGCACAAACATCCTTGTTTGATTCGATATCACAGCTGCAGACACTTCTGGGCAGATAATGGGCATTCCTGACCGATGAACTCTTCTAGCCTCGGTCTGTTTGACTGAAGCAGGGGCTAAAATTGCTACAGCGGGTTTAAAGCAGAAACATTATAAGTGTAAGAGATGTGGCACTGAAAGAAAACTGTAACAATAAGTGTTCACACATGAGTTACATAATGCTTTGTGTTTCAGAGTACTTCCCTGAGTAATTTTGTTTGTTCCTGTTTAGTTTCTGCTTAAAAATGTTTCCTTACACTTGATTTTTT